GGCAATTGACGTGAAGAAATACCAACTCAATGGAGGCTCCACCTCCTTTGAGGGAATATTTGGAGGAAAGTACAAATACACAGAGAAGAACTTAGGAACTCTAGAAAATACAAAGAGAGATATAAAGAAATATAAAGAAAATATTAAAATTTGGAAGAAGGAAAGACCTGACTATATGTTTGAACATGATCCCTCCTAAGGGAACTAGTTTTCAGAACATCTCTTAGGGTTGATATAACCTCAAAGGAAGTTGCCCTTATGACGTCATCATCCTTGTCATAAGGTTTTTCCTGCAGGATAAAGACAACCGGTGAATCAATAGATTAATAAACTATTCACCGTGTTTGAATTTTCAACATAAAATTCTCGAAGTGATAACATATAGACAAGTCGACAACATACCTTGAGATGATCCACTTTGACTGTAAGGGGATCTTCACTGACCAGTATAGAAACCATGATGTTTTTAAGTTCAGAAGGTGTTGCATCAACAAACATTCCAATTATTTATGATGAATATGCTTTTACACCAACACCAGATTATCATAGGCTAAAACGATATATTTAGGATCGCTCTCACCCACCATCTCTGTTATTCGAAGCCGCCTGTGACCAATAAGGATAACCTGATCTCCTTGGATACTTGAAATCTGAAAATATCATATCATAGATGCATGTATTAGTGAACACACTATATTGTTGCATATTTATCAAACTGAAACTCATATTATTGTATTTAACACTAATCAAGATACATCAATACCTTTCAACTAAAAGAATAGCAACAAAAATAGATACCTGAGCAAGGGTGCCAACTTCATGAAGACGATTAAACAACTCCTTTCCTTTAATATCATATACACTTTTCTCTGAATCAGAACCAGGACTGGACTCAGTCCCTGGTTCATCTTTAAGAAGGAAAGCACCGGCGTATGGAGCTTGCCTTTTCCGGCTTTCTTGTAAAGCTGCTAGCAACTTAGGATCCTGCTCACAAAGCATGTTGGTAAGAGAATCCATTGACCTCATCATGCCTAGATAATATTGCAAGCCACAAACAAAACATGATATTTTCACCACTGTTAAATAGTATAAATCACAGCATAGAGTGGACTTCTCTAGAGCTACAAAACCACAGATTTGTGGTAAAAATTCAAATCTATAAAATGGTGCCACTTGAAGGGTCGAGATATGACCTACAATCGAATTGATAAAAAATTGCTCCAAATTTATAATTCATCAACGTCAACTATAAATCATAACTCTACAAGAGTTCAACAATGTAGTCCATAAATATTACTAGTCACTACCCTAAGGAAAAAAGCAAGGGGAGAATTTCATACTCCATGACAATAGATAGCAGGATCTACCTTAACATAAATAGGCATGTAAAATCCTGGGAAAAGAGGTCTATGTGGCAAAGGTAAAGCCAAAACCTGCAAACAAAAAAGAAAAAGAATGTGTTTAACCAAATCTAGGAGAGAACAAATACAGAGCTTTCTTCGAAAATACAGTTCATGATTTCGACAAATGTGATCAAGTAGAATTCTTCACAGTTTGTTGTTACACAATGATCAAGAAAAATATTCAATAAAAAAACAATTTACGGATTCACAAATGTACTCTCATTTTATCAACTCCAATCATGCCACCTCATTACACATGATCTGTTAATGTCAAAAACAAAGAAAATTCACGAGAAAGATTATGAAAGGGCCAACTTTACATAAGTAAAATTCAACAGCATTTTCCAGTCATCCATTTCCCTTCAAAGATTCATTATTTCCGAAACTAACCGTCAAGTAATCCTCTGGCCTGGGGTAAGCCGGCACGATAGCTGACGATGCTTTCGAGTCAGACCCATCGGACTCGGACTCAACTCCCTTTTCCTCGACCTCAACCACCGGTTGGGTCTCGGAACCTGATCCGGAACCATCACTGGAATCAGAACAGAAGAAAGCCCTGAAGAGCGAATTCGTAGGGCTCCGCCGAGTCAATCCGGTGAATCGACCCACTGCATCTAAGAGCGAATTTGAGTCATGCTTAACTCGGAGGCTAGGAGTTACCGTGGTGATGCAGTGTACACGATTGGAGGAGGATAAAAGGAGTTTCAGCATCGGAGGGGCAGAAATGGAATCCTGTTTGACAAAAATGGTTAAAATGGCAATGGGAAAAGCACCATTGGCGAAGAAGCTTGAAGGAGGAAAATTGGGTTTTAGCGGAGGTCGAAGATGAAGCTTACTAATAGGTAAAACCTTTCCTAAACCCTTGGATTTTTTACGTGAGTTACAGTTTTGCCCTTTTGGAGTATAGACCCAATCGAAAGAGAACTACAACATTCTCATCTTCTTCCTTCATGATCCTTAATTCTTCTTCAATTCCTCCCTTAATTCTTCTTCAATTCCTCCCTTAATTTATTCGTGCACATATCAATTTCATATCTTCTATAATTAATCTCTACCAGATGTATCCAAGGCCCAACCTTTTCCGTGGAAAATTTAGAGTGGGGAACATTTTCCCGGGAAACAAACACTCCCTAAGGCCATTCTCTTCAGACAACACTCCATTACCAATCGTAACCGAACTCATATCAAAACAACACTGGGGAAGCCTCAAAACCCATCTCCAAAACGAAAACCCCACCACACTTCTGCAACAGCTGCTTGATTCTGGGATTGACCCGTGCCTCACACTAAGGTACTACTCTAAAGAACCCAGCTTGAAGTGTACCCAATTTTTTCTTTCTTTCTTTTCCTTTGTGTTTATTCGATTTTTCTTCATATCTTGTAGGTACTATAAATGGTCAGAGAAAGAATTCAATCTCTCCCATTCATTAGATCATAGTTGTATGCTGTTACATTATCTTGCAAATTCTAAAGAGTATCCGAAAATGAGATCTTTCTTACATGGCTTTTTGAAGAATGAGAACCCCATTTCAGTTTCTTCTATTTTTCATGCCATTTCAATATCTGGTGATAGTTTTTGTGCTGGTTCAATAATTGCTGATATGTTGATATTGACTTATGTGAATCATATGAAAATTGATTTAGGATTTGAGGCTTTTAAGAGAACTGGTGACTATGGTTTTAAGTTATCGGTCTCGTCGTGTAATCCTCTGTTGAGTGCTTTGGTGAGGGAGGAGAAGATTGGATATATGGAATATGTCCATAAAGAGATGATTAGGAGGAATTGAGGTTAATTTGATAAGTTTTAATACTGTGATCAATGGACTGTGTAAAGTTGGGAAATTGAATAAGGCTGGTGATGTTGTTCAGGACATGAAGGCATGGGGGATCATGCCAGATGTAATTACCTATAATACTCTTATTGGTGGTTATTGTAAGAAAGGTCGGATCGGGAAAATGCACAAAGCGGATGCTATTTTGAAGGAAATGATTGCCAATGAAGTTAGACCTAATGAGATTACTTTCAATATATTGATTGATGGGTTTTGTAAGGATGAGAATTTATCAGCAGCTATGAAGGTGTTTGGGGAAATGCAGACACAGGGTATGAAACCTACTGTGGTTACATATAATTCTTTGATTAATACACTCTGTTTGGAAGGGAAGCTTGATGATGCTTTTTGTATGCTGGATGAAATTGTAGGATCGGGTTTGAAGCCGAATGTTGTTACTTACAATGCACTTATAAATGGGTACTGTAAGAAGGGTAAGATGAAGGAAGCCACTGACTTGTTCGATGATGTTGTAAGACGAGGAATTGCTCCTACTGTTATAACATATAATACCCTGATAGATGCCTATTGTAAGGATGGGAGGATGGAAGATGCATTCGCTCTGCGTGAATCTATGGTGGATAGAGGTGTTTTCCCTAATGTTTCAACATATAACTGCTTAATTGCTGGTTTATGTAGAGAAGGAAACATTGCGGTCGTCAGAAAGCTCATTGATGAAATGCAAAATAAAGGTGTGAAAGTTGATTTGTTACATATAATATACTGGTAGGTGCTTTGTGCAAGGATGGAGAGTCGAGAAAGGCTGCAAGAGTCTTAGATGAGATGATTAACATAGGCTTGAGGCCGAATCATGTGACGTATAATACTTTGATGGATGGCTATTGCAGGGAGGAAAACCTCAGGGCAGCATTGAACGTTAAAACACGAATGGAGAAAGAAGGGATGCGGGCTAATGTTGTGACATACAATGTGCTAATAAAGGGTTTATGCAAGAAGGGAAAATTAGAAGAGGCAAACGGACTTCTTAATGAGATGTTAGAGAAAGGTTTGGTCCCGAACCGAACAACATATGAGATAGTTAAAGAGGAAATGGTGGACAAAGGCTTTGTTCCTGACATTGAAGGGCATCTGTATGACATCTCCGGCAGCCGATACCTTTAAAAAAAACTGATTTGTATTACCATGACCAATTATTTTATTGGCATCGTTGATCATTTGGTTTTATCATGTTTATAAGATAGCTCCGATTTGTCTTGTTCCCATTTCTGCAGCATCTATTTATATGTTTTTTCTTGCAAGGGATACTTTAATATCCTCCTCGATTCCTCAGAACATGCTACTTATTTCAGATTCAGGTCCTCTTTCTAACTTTGGTTTAAACTTTCATTCAATTGTTTAGGTGTTTTATCTCTGTTTAAAGTTACTTTATTTTAACCTTCGTAGAAATCGGCTTTATGCTTTGTAAGAGAGTTGACAGTTGTTCTTCAAAGTTTGCTATTTACTTCCCCAGATTTCTTTGATTTGGGCTCTCATTCTGTAGCTTGTGCATTGAAGGAGGATGTGAAGCTTTATTTTTACAACATTAGAGCTGCTCATGTCGATGGAGCTACGAATCTTGCAAGTGCTTAGGGTACACAGTGTTGCAAGGCGTGTCCGCTGAAGATACACAAGCGACAATATCTAGAGAGGCTACGGCTCGATGGGTCGAGTCACCTGTCTCATTTCCTTAACCAATAACCACTTGGACAGATATTCACATACATTTGATCATAAAATGACTAACTTTGATCTCCATCCTATGCCGTGCTTAAAACTAGCTCTTTCAACATTGAAGAGCAAAATGCACACAAGGATCAGTAATGTTTGGGAATGTGAGCCCTCAAATTATCAGTTTCATTCGAACCTAAGTGTTACAATCTAGTCAGTTTCTAAAGCTTTACAACATAAACAACTATGACACCCTGCGCCTTGTTTAACACCGAGCTGCTTTAAGGAAGTTGTCGAACGGGCTAGCGGGAGGCAACCTCATAGACAAGCATGGGTCGATCTGTGAGACAGCTCTGGTTAAAGCACTTTCATTTGATATCTGTGATAGAGACCAGCAAATGAAAATGACAAAGCGGATCATGATCGAGATGTAGCCATATTTGTTTTCAGTAATCACTGCTGCTGCTTGAACCATAATCATTTTGAGTAAAAAATGTCATGAAAAGTGAGTAATGTGTTCTTTTTACCTTCTGAAGCATCATCGCGTGTCTATCAGCAGCAACTGTTGGTATAATTTTATCAGCAGCTCCGTTTTCATGGGCCAACCAGTTGGATAGCTTCTTCCTTGTACCGGTGCCAAATGCTTCGCATTGGCTAGCCATGGTATCGTATGGGAGAGGTGATGTAGAGACGGAATTCGCTGCAACTTGACCAGCCGCCTCAAGTGCCTACAAAACACAGTAATATTAACGAATATAAGATCGTACAAAATCCCATACGGAAGTTCTATGGTTTTCGGAGGTTCACAGGAAAATGAGAGATTACCGATTGCAAGAGCTGCCCAATGTCGGTAACACGAGACACAGAAGGGGACGCAGCCACTTTCGGAATGAAGTGGGACAGGTTGACGACAGATGCTTCACTTCTTGCATCATCCTCAAGTAATGAGCTTGTTTGAATATCCTGTCACAGAAGCACCGAAACACGGAGATAGATTACATGCAAAAAGCTTTTTAAGTTATACGTTGGTTCCACACGAAAAGATGCTAATATACAGGCATACCTCATCAAAAGAAAGTGATTGTTTCGAATAGGGAATCATTTGATTGTGGTCCAAGTCAAATATAGATCGAGGGCCGAACATGAATGCATCATCGGGTGTGAATGGCTCGGACAACTGCGTTGTAAGATCATCTACTTCCATCTTTAACAAGAGCAAAAAATAAGCTTTAGAAACTTTATAGAGACAGAAAGAGAGCATCTCTTAATAATATGTCCCACCTCAGTGATGGTCGATAAATTTCGAACCAAGATATCAATCAAGACATCGTCAGATTGATATATTTTATCCCGCAAATCCAATAGCAAAGAAGAGGCCAACCGATTATCAGTAACAAGTCCATAATTTTTTTACATCTGCTTGAGGTCTTACGAATACTTGAAAGTCTTTGCTGATGCCGAGATAAGGGTCAGCCTGAAAATAGATAAGCATGGTTATAGATATAATGGGTTATATACCACAAATACTGCAAACTTTGTCGCGATACACGACTTAAAACGATTCAAGGAAAGAGTAACTTACGTCGAACGGAACTACAGGCTTGACGAGATCAATCAGATCAGGTATTTGGCATATCTTAGCTGCAAACATCAGCATTCCCATCGACAGCATGAGAATCGATCGCTGGAATGCCGGAGTTAACATCCCTGAGAACATCAACAAGAAACAATGTAAGTTAACAACTTAAACATCCTATCCTAAGATATGAAAGCTTGCCTATTAATAGCACATACCATTGCTAGGGTCCAATGCGATATTCTTTAGGGACAACGGAAGTTGGAAGAAGCGAACAACGAGGTTGTCATTGATGTTCTGCAACATCACAATTTAGAAGATTATTAGCAAACGGACAATGTAAAAAAGACCATGTAGCGATTCGATTTACCTTCAGTTGTAAAGAAATTAATGTCAGTGCAAAAGAATGTGATATAGCTTCTATGTTTGACGGCATATTATCGGAAAGGGTGGCCTGTATCCAGAAGCCGGACAATAACTGCATTATCTGATCCTCTGTCAACTTCATGATATATGGTTCCTGAGAAAAAAAATAATACAGGAGATTGATCATATTAAAAGAACGGGTGGTAAACTAGATAATTGCACATAGACCATGATCATGAAACTGAGAAACTGCTTACTGCCTCAACCATGTTTGATGCAGCTGTTTTGTCAATAATGGATGTTATATTATAGATATTATGGGAACTCTTCATGACGAGGCCTTGCTTCCGGTCCTCTTCGATATTGTCCTTTCCTTTAAAATCTTCATGAATACTATAACCATTCTTTTCCATTTCGATGCCATCCTTTTCCCTTTGGAGCTTTTCAAGTAACGCTGATATGGATTCAAATGCAGAAGCATTGTTGGAATGCCATCTTCTCGTTTCATAGACACAACCAGAATGCAGAGATGCAACTTCATGTCGAGGACGATTAGAACTTGGAATAAGAAGAGCTGAAAATATTTGGTGTGCTCCTACACGGACCTCGATGTTGGGATGCAACATTGCTTTCATCAGTTGAACAAGAAGAGCTACGGGAAAAACCTATTTGACGAAAATACCGAATCTCAGTTTCAGCAAACCTGAACCTACAGAGTAGGGAGAGGCAAAGAATGCATAGAATATAAAAATAATCAGGGCAGCAAAAGCACACGAAATGGATCGTACCAGTTGTGATCGAGAGGATTAATGCTAATGAAATCATATGAGCAACTATCATCAACGATCCAATCGTTGCACGAGCAACAACTCCAGAAGAAGGCAACTTCTCCAGCGATATCGCCATCATGTTGAACAGAGGTAGTGCATTATCAATCTAGTAAAAGACCAATGGGAACTCGAGTAAACTAAAAGCACTGGATAAAATACACCAGAATGTACCAAAAAGAACACTTCAAATTTACCCCTTTTGCTATTTCCAGCAAGCACTCTTCAATGGAATTTCGAAGCAAGATATTTAAGTTCGACTCCTGCTGTCCTACTGATTCGAGAGTGGCTTGGAAACTTTTTCTCAGATGCCTGCATAGGTCACTAACAAAACCAGTTTCAGCAAGCGCCCCTCTGGATCTAACTTGAGTAGCTAAAGCGGCCGCAACTTGTACGATATACGATTTTAGTTGAGGATCATGAGCCATATTTTTGTGATCTAGATGACGGACTACAGCTGCTAATATCAGTTGGTGATTCCCTGAAAACCAAAAAAACAGCAAGAAAATCGTAAAATCACTGAATATTGATCATATTTGGTGGATCCTTTAAAAGAAATGAAAAACGAATGTACCCGAAGCATCCCCGTAGGACATGTCAGACAAGACCACCATTGCCAATCCCTGTTGTGGAATCCAATGCTGCCGAGAATCGAAGTAGACAAATACCGGATCAAGTACTTGGCGCAACGTTGTAGTCTCCTTTGCCAGCTCAACCATTCTCTGTATACAAATTTGAGCCCAAACTTTAGGTGTTTCAGTCTCTTCCCTGTAAAAAACCAAACAAACTACAATTTAGGAAACCAGATGGGACTTGAAAAGGATCGAAAACCATTCTATCATTCTATGTTTCATAATATTTTTTTTTATAAGAATGCTAAGCCTCGTTAAAAACCCCCTTCTTGATTAATGGATCTTATAGGGAAGCTCCTTAATCAGCGGAAGGGGGAAAAGAGTGCTATATATTATTCATCATAATAAATTACAACGAAAACAACAATAGTAATCCCCTTACGAAACACAGAAAATCAAGAAACAACCCTAAACAGCCATCAAAACCTTTACTAACTCAGCCTATGCCTTCTTTAGCTAAGGCATCAACCTATGTTTCATAATATAGTTTGTTACATCATATAAATGTTCTCCTTTACAGCTCGGTAATTATGCTACCTCGTCAAAAGAGAGGGATCCTTTTTCTCTGATTGGGGCCTGATAATCATGTTGCTAGGACTGGCATCACCGGCAACAATCGCACCTCTACCCTCACAGCGAACCACTTCATCTACCCAAGTATGATGGGGCTCTCTCTCATTATTGTCATCAACTCGAGTATCTAGCTCATAGTTATCCAAAATGGCATATACCATCTGCAGTTCGGTACATCAACATTTTAAGCACACATTGGAGACGGAAGGTTATTCGTTATTCCCCCGCCAATTAGTAATGCGATGCTACACGTTAAGGGAGAGAGTCGGCACTAACCTCATCGAGAGCAGGAAAAATATAGGAATATTGTGCCATGAACCAAACCTATGAAGCAAAAGTAAAACACAAAGGCATATTCTAAGAGATTCGAGATCAATGGAAAAAGTAGGAAACTGAGAAAGTTACTTCATTACATGATCATCCTTGTGAACTCAGAAATGGAAAAGGAAATGAACTTTTTAAACTACCACGGCAGAAAGGCACTGCAAGCTAGACGCTCTCAAGCGGCGTCTCTGATGTTCGTTCACATCCTCACGTGCCAGCTTACACACTTTATGAACAAATTTCTCGATGCTGTGTGTGTAAGTTCCATCCGCCTATTAGTGAAACGGATCAAAGCATGAGTAATATCTAATAGTAATTCGATTACGTATGGAAAGGAAAAACAAATTTCAAATGCATCACGATTCATAAAAACACTTGCAGCAGTAAATGAGAAAGCTAGTTGAGTTATTTGTATTCTAACATCGGTGACACGAGAAAGCCTCCCATATCATTCACATAGCAAACCTATTGCATTCCGAAGAACATTTTCGACATGCATCAAGCGGTAAGTTATAACCGTCAAAAATTATCTTAAACTTACCTATGTATAAAGGTGCTATCAGTTTTGTACTTTTCGTTTTCAGAAGGAAAAAGGAAAAAAAGGAAAGCAGACATTAACCTGATTATTGATAAACCTAGTCAAGGTTTCGCATCCAAGGATCCGCGTAGCATCTTGCTTAGAGTTATCGAGCAGTTCACTAACAACATTCAGCAAGCTAACAGCAAAACATGCCCTACGAGGTAAAAAAAGCAAGTTTATCATACAAGAACATTCCATTCCACACAACACAAGCAACACAATGAACAATAAAACAAATAAACTGGAAACGGTTACCGACATCTGTTCCTTGCACATGCAAAGTAACTTGTTGTAAGCTTCCGTGACAATATTGACGAATTTGATGTGCTCGTAACGCAATTCTTTGTAGCATCTTTCTTCAAGATACTTGGCAATCTATTAAAAAGAAAAGGAGCCTCGCCGACATCAGTAATCAGCGTAATATATCAAAGGTTGGACTAATGTAAACTTGAGCAACAAAGAAACATAGTCGTTACTACCTTGGGAATTCGGAAAGGGTTTTTGGCAGCATATTCACATAATTTGGCAATTTTCCTTTCATTGGGAGGAGCATCCTGCAACATACGGCGAGGCTTTAACTTTGTAATTACAGCTTATCAAAAATTAAGTACATTGCAAAGGGAAGAACTCTTCAGCTAAAATGCTAATTATCTGCATCTAAGAACTTGACTATGTGTCTTTCGGAGCCTAGGTCATTCCAAGCTACAATCGATCGATCATGAAAATATGTTATCCGGAATAACTCTAGCAGCCTTGACTGGCATATTGCAAGATCAAAGATTCTATACTGCAAACCCCGGCCTTAAAACTAAATTGCGTGCAACCGGATAAGCTTAAACGGCCGCACCAAGAACTCAAATACATATATAGTAAGTTTCATCATCAAACAATAGGGTACTGAATCTACTGGCAATCAACACATTACCAAAATTCATGAGCCAAAAGAACATAAAAGGTGAATACTTTACTCACAGTGGACTTGGGGAATATTTCGGACAACAATTTCTTGTATCGCTTAACAGGTTGTCTAGATCTTGACCTCAAAGCAGGACAACACACACACATGCTTCCACAAGCAGGGAAGATCTTCCTGGAGATGAACCCCATTTCTGTACATGAAAAAGGAAGAAGGAGAAACCTAGAAAAAGATCATCTTTAATACTCTAAAGCATGAGAAATTGCAATTTAAACATTATCTTTAATGGTAATAGGAAAATATTTCAGCTTTATAAGCATCAAAGAACAAATCACAAACAGCTAAAGGGTAAATCTTCAGCTAAGATAAAGAACAAAGGTGAATGAATCACCTGTACCTAAAAACACCAATTAACGCCTCTGGTTTTTAGGCCAGAATCCCACCAACGCAGAGAAGATAAACAAACCGAAGAGCTCTCCAATCAGATTTACAACACAAAAAGCGAAGACCCTTCTTTGAAAATTTATGGGATACAGCAAAAGAATGAACTTTTGGCCGGCAGTGACTGGCAGATCTGCAACTGCACAAGCCTGGACCAAAGGGATCAAAGAGAAAAGGGCGCGTGGAGTATAATAAGAAGAAGATTCAAAGCAACAATCACGTGATGGGTGTCAGGTTTTCCAATTCCAACTTATGTTTAGTTGGTGGGAAAAACTAAAACGTGAAATCTTTTGCCTTTGCAGTGTACAAGAACACCTAGAAAATGAGAAATTGTTCATCAAACAAAGGATTCATTTGGTTTTTATTGCTTTGGGCAGGGGACAATCCTTTCATTGTACACAAAAGTATCATACTTTATTTTGAATTTGGGACCTTGGGGAAGATGGACCGTGAAGAGTTGTACTATGTCATTGTATAGGACTTTGTTAGGGATGGGAATATTCACTTTAATCAAGGTTAGGGATGGAGTTGGTCAACAAATTTATCTTGGCTGCGTGCCACTGGACACATGCTCACAATCTTCCATCCCTGAAAATCAGTTTACTATAATAAATTGGGGAGCTTTCATAGATGGTTACATGCCTAACATGTAGTTATTTGATCGATGTTTTTCGTCATTTGACTGTTACAGTGCTAACGTAGTCGTTCACGATGTTGACATGACGGTTCACGATGTTGACATGACGGTCCACGATACTGACGTAACAGTTTATCTATCATATGATTTACCAATTTAATTCATCTGCTATGTTATTCATTACGTTATCAACCACCGGGAACTGTCACGTCAACATTGTAGATTGCTTTGTCAATACCATAACAGTCAACGACGAAAAATGTTGGTCAAATGACCACGTTTAGCTTATTTTCTGAGTTGAAATGTCACATTAAAAAAAATAATACGAACATCACATTAATTTTTTTAAAAGTACAAAGACATCTAATATCTTTTTACCAAAAATGAAGAAAAATTAATTAGAATCAAAGTAAATGTTAATATCATTCAATTATTATTTTTTCCTTGCTAGCAGCCGTCTAGTCCCGTGGCATTATGCAATGCCCATTCTTTTTCTCGTTGTCTACGTCAATGGTTAGTCAATCAAGAATCTTAATTATATTTAAATCAATCTAAATTAAATTTTTATCACTCGATCCTACATATATTATTGAGGTATCATAATGATCCTAAGATATAGATGTTCATTAAGGGAAACTTGAGTAGTTATACCATACATCAGTCTAATATAAGATTAAGGAAAGACACAATTGAAAATGTTAATATTTTTTAACATTTTCGGTAGAATGTTACCTAAAATGTTAATTTTGTTACCTAATATGTTAACATTTTAACGTTTCTGGTTGTAATCGAAAATGTTACTTTCTCCATAACATTTCCGGTTGCAACCAGAAACGTTAAAAATATTAATATTTTAGATAACGAAATTAATATTTTAGGTAGCGTTTCACAGGAAATGTTAAAACAAAATTAACATTTTTTTGTTGCGCCTTTACTTGACCTTATATTAGGCTGTCTTTCCTTATAAATTCCGGGAAAATGTTGAACAATTTTTGGGTCATTTTAAATTAGTTCTAAGTTTAAGAACCAATTTTAAAGTCAGTTTGCTTGACAATGAATTTCCAAGAACACGAGATCCATAATTACGAATCTCATTTTAAATTTGTTCTTAAACTTTAAAATATTATCTATTAGTCCTCAAATCATGGCCCATTCTAGATTGGTCATGAAACTTTAAAACATTTTATATTGATCCTCAAATTATCAGTATCATTCCATTTGGATCCTTCAAAGATAGGTTATATTTTTTAACTAGTAGAGTTAACATGTTAATAAAATTATCAAAGTATAATGATGTTGATAGTTTGAGTATTTATATGAAATATTTTAAAGTTTAACGATCAATTTAGAATAGGGTTAGTTTAATGATTGATATAGAATGTTTTAAAATGTAAGGATTAATTTAAAATAAAACCATACTTTCAAAACTTCATACACAATTATCTTTTAAAAATAATTTAGGGACTAATTTAAAATGAAATCATAGTTTGTGCATAATTATCTCTTAAAGAAGAGAAGAGAGGGAAAAAAACAAGAAAATAATAATAATTTCCCACTTCCCATCATTGGGAAAAACAAACAACGAAAATAAAATGATTACAATGTGAATGGACCTAGATTTCCACATCGCAATATTATATTTCAGGATAAATTATGCATTTAGTGCTTAAACTATTAGTTTTGATCTGTTTTAGTACATATACTTTCATTCTTTTTCAAAATCATACCTAAAGTTTAGTTTTTGTTTCATTTTAGTATCCGCCGTTAAAAACTTTAGTTTTCGTTTCATTTTAATATCCTCATTTCAAATTTATCGTTAAGTTTTAAAAAAAATTGAAAATTTAGGTACTAAAACTGATAGTTTACGTACTAAACACGTTAAGTTTTTAATGGCGGGATACTAAAATGAAATGAAAACTAAACGTTAGATATAATTTTGAAAAAAATTGAAAGTTTAAGTATTAAAATATATCAAAATTAATAGTTTAGGTACTAAATGCATATTTTACCATATATTTTAAAATATAACATTATTAATAGTGTAATATCAATCAAAAATTCATCCTGTCTAGTTGTCATCCTTACAGATAAATATTTATAACTAAAAAAATGTTATTTTATTTATAATTAATCTATTTTTTGAATTTATCCTAATTACTCTTTCATAGATTTTCATATTTTATATTAATGTATTTGATATAGAAATAAATATATGTAGATTTCTTAGATGGAAATATCAATTATAATTAATGAAATTATATTAACACGCACAAACCGTTGATACTTCAGTGGTTAAAAGAATCATTGTTATTATTAGAGATCACAGGTTTAAATACCAACAGTTACCGCGGGTGATTGAGCGTTTATTATCAAATTATTGAGAATATTTGGAATAAATACTATGAATAAATATATAAATACGACTTCCAAAAATGCAAAGACTAAAAAATTAATTTAAATTTTTTTAAAAAAAAAATTATCAATAAAAATATATATTTAAATTATATAAAAATATTTAAAAGATAATTGTGGTCGTAAACCATCTTCGATCCATCCCTGAATATAATGATACATGTCATTGGTCATGCCACAACCTAGAGATAGCAAATGGGTACAATTTTGTGGACTTCGCACCGTACCTGCTCCAATTGGGGTGGAGATGGGTATAACTTTAGTGGGTAGTGGACGGGTGTGAATTTAGAAAGTGGTATCCGTCGCGGGTAGTGGGCGGGGGATGGGTTTGGGACCTTATCCGCCCTGCATCCGCCCGCCCCACATCCACCCGCCCACTAAATACTCATTAAATTTTGGACCATTATGAATTTAGGTATAATTTTAGAGACTAATTTATAAATCTTAATATTGTATAAAATATAAATTATAATTTAACCAAATATTAGGTATGAATTTAGAGACTAATATTATGCTTCTTAATGGACATGTTTGTTTTATGTTTGTTGCTTATGTATAACTTAAGGTTGCTGTCAGGCGGGTCTAGCCGAGTACGTCTCCAGTTGGGTAGTTGGTGTGGGGATGAATTTGAGAATGTACCCGCGTGGACGGGTATGAATTTGAAAAATTTTACCCATCATAGGTGGTGGACGGATGGTAGATTTAATCATATTAGATGGGTACGAGGATAGGAGAGAGAATATACGAACTCAACCCGCCCGTTTACCATCCCTACGACGCAACCATTCAAACAAAAGCTTTGTTAAATTCTCAATTTCCATGACGACTTTTTATTTATTTATTTTTTGGTCATTTTCATTCTTTTTATTATTTTTTTTTGTAAATATATTTTTGTTTTTTCTAAATAATAAGAAAATTCATATTCAACAAAAATGGATACAAATATCACAACACTATCATTATCATGATCATACATTAGTATACAGAGCAATATTCAAGTCCTTGTTAATTGTTACCTTTATCTCCTACACTCCCTATATCGGTATTGTATCATAAGTATACCATCCATCCACAGACTTAGGTACACAACTGATACGATCGTAGTTCGCTGCCTGATCATACCGCCGAGTTCCGTTCGCTAAAACGCGGTAAGCGTTTCGTGCATAGCCTTGTAGCATTGAAGGCTGCAGAGGGGAAGCTTCGATTTCGAATCTCGGTACTTGTATGGATTTGTACAAGATGGAATGGCACATTTCTCTCGAGGAGGAGGGTAACCGCAAGGCTTGGGATCGAATATACTCGGTAAGCCTACCTCGTTTGGGAATGTTACGATTGTTCCCGAAGGGCTCATTAGCCATCTAACAGAGTCTGATGCAACTACTATGGAGTTTGTAGCTTTTTCCTGCAGGAAAGAAGGATCAAGATGCAGAGATGGAAGATAAGATTTGAATAGAAAGAAGGTATTGTGCATGATCTTTACTTGTGCCATTTCTTCTTGCCTTTTCTTTATCTTCTCTTCTCGTTTCTTCCTGCTCGAATCTTGGCAGAGAATTTTTCTTATAGCTTCGGCCTGCAAAAATCGAGGGCAGTTAATCTCGACATCTTAAGAGTTAACATCAACATTAATAATATGCATTTTTCCTAACTTCTAGACATTCCCGAGGGAGTCATCGGACAAACCATATTCTCAAATCATCCCAGCCCTTTCGAAAATATGGAAAATCGAAGAGGGAAAAATGGTGCATACCTCAGATTCCCTAGCTGCCTTTTCGACCTGCACCCTGCGTCGCTGAGCCGCCTCTGCTTTCTTCAGTTGCAGCTCTACTTCGGAGAGTTCCTCTTTTTGCTCTGTGATCAGATTATGTTGGATGATAGCATGAATGGAAAAGGCAACAAAAGCAACAATAGTACTAATACGATACAAACTTCTGGGTGGAGCAGGGGGCAATCCATTCGGGAACTCGACCGGACTAACGGCAGCACTAGAAGAGACATCTTTGCCTGATTGCAGTGCACGCTGCCGTGTAGTGACAGTCAGTTCCTTCTTGTTGTCCCCCAGGAAATCTACAACTTCCTTTCTGGTTTTCTTTCTCCTATTTTCTAGCTCAACATCTGAAATCGATTCTTCATCCCCTTCCACATAATCAGTATCTTCGGAGGTTCTTCCCGATCTTGACTTCTTAGACTCCTTGCTTATTCTTGACGAACCATAATCTCCGACATCCAAGCCATAAAGACCGTCAACGTTCCTAGTCACTACCTTGGCTATCCTCCGATGTTTTCTTCCTCCATCTTCTCCATGTTCTACGCCATAATCAGCAGTTACTCTAGCTGTTTTGACCTTCTCAAGGTATCGAATCTCATCATCATCTTCCGCATCATCAAGCACTCCTTCTAATGAGCGTTTCTTGGGAACTCGCTTACTCTTACGGACTGGTTCATGCTTGTCTATACCCTTTGTTGAGATATTCTCGGCAGGTACCCTACCTGTTGAATGACGTACCTGGTTTACACCTAAATCGCCTCTTGGGAAATCCTTCCACCGAACCCCTCGCAAAGAACCATCCTTCTCGGAAGTAAAGTGGCCATCAGAGTTGCCCTGCACAACACAAAATTACATATCAGACAAAAGGAATCTCAATAAGAACTCTGTCCATTTATCAGTTCATGCCACAAAATATTAAGGCCATCGCTTCCAGGGTCAGAACTTTCGACAATATATTTCAAGGTGCTCTATAAATATTCTTACAATTTTGAACTTTCCGTGGACACCAGAGATTCGGAACTTACAAACGCAGAAAAGATTCATTTACGAGGACTCAAACTATACATAGTGAGCTCAAAGATGCATATGGTATGTTACAGTTGCATGATAAGAGTATTGAAAGCTACAGTCAGGAAAGTATAGTGACTTGGGAATTCTGCATAATAGCAGGGTAGCAACCTTAATACTTGATCTCTGAAGTGATCGAGGGGCGTCTGAAAAGCGAGAAGATTTCGAATAAGTCGACCCAGCGCCAAATGCACTATCACCTACAGATTTGGCATCGATGGTACGCGTAACACCACCAACCTTAAGTTTAACTTTCTTGACTTTCTTCTCATTTTTTAGACCATCTGAAACACTTCCGAAACTCCCTCCGGCGCTCACAATTTTCCAGTTGCTAGGGGCAAA